TCCTCTTATGAAGACTGGGTCATTGGATTTAGGGTCCACTCTAAACCAAGGAGTCTCTCATCTCAAGATTCTTCCCTAACTGCATCTGCAAAGTCCCCATTCTATGAGTCACTTTCTGGGCTTCTAATAGACATGAAGTGGGGAGCACTATTCTATATAGCACAATATAGTACAGTGCCCAGGAAGCAGGATGAGGACAGAGACGCTGAGGCAGGAAGCACAGTTCTAACAACTCAAGCCTGTGGCCTAAACGAACAGTGACAGAAGTCCCTTCTGAAAGCTCCAAAGTCCTCAAAGGCTTATGTGCCAGTGCAGAACACCAAATAGACTCCTAAAAAAGAGCCTGGCTCCCTGTTATTCTAGACTCCTTCCCACACTATTCTCCACTCCTTCCAGATGGCCAGATGCCAATGGGATGGTCAAGGTAGGATGCAGCTAACCTGGAGTTGGGACACCTAAGCTCTGGTTAGGGTGCTACCCCTGAGTAAACTCGGAACGTGAGCATCCCCAGGGCACCTCTAGGCAAAGAGGCTGGCTGCCCCACCTAAGAAGCAATTGACATCCATGTGATCAATAGCCTGGAGAGTAGCTCCAACTTCACAGGGTAGAACAGGATGAATGGCCTGTGGGCTGGCCTGCAGTGCCAGCCCTTTCCCTGTCGCCCTGTGCAGGGACTTCAGCCCTCTCCTGCTGGAGCTCCCTTCTCAGCCTCCAAGAAAGGAAACTGCACTTATCAAAGCTTAGGAACTAGGTGAACTAAAATGAAGAATACACCCTTCCCCACATTTGAACCTAGCAAGAGTGGGTTATGGTGTGGCTCCTTTTAAATTTACTTTTTTAACCTAGAAAATGCTTAAAGATCTATGTATAAATTTCTTCCCAGAAACATCATCTCTCATTTAAAAATTACATCAAGAGTGAAACAGCCTTCACATTCATATATAAGGGCTTAGATGAGGTGTGACAGGGCTTCCTGTGGACCACTAACTAGTGCCCTCACCATCATAACAGCTTTCTGGCATGGAGTAAGGGGCATCCATGATGGGATGTTACCAAACATGTAGACTACACCAGCACATTCCAGTAAGATCTTTGTGTTTAAAAAGTGAAAAGGTGTCGCCAGGCAGTGGTGGCACACGCCTTTATTAATCCCAGCACTTGGGAGGCAGAAGCAGGTGGATCTCTGTGAGTTTGAGGCTATCCTGGTCTACAGAGTGAGTTCCAGGAAAGGCACAAAGCTACACAGAGAAACCCTGTCTCGAAAAACAAAACAAAAGAAAAAGTGAAAAAGTGTCGGGCGGTTGTAGTGCAAGCCTTTAATCCAGCACTTGGGAGGCAGAGCCAGGTGGATCTCTGTGAGTTCAAGGCCAGCCTGGTCTACAGAGTGAGATCCATGACAGGCACCAAAACTACACAGAGAAACCTGTCTTGAAAAACAAACAAAAGAAAAGTGAAAAGGTGTGTGTGTGTGTGTGTGTGTGTGTGTGTGTGTGTGTGTGTGTGTGTGTGGTGTGGTTGCACACATGGCCATGGCACATCAAGACAGAAAGTAATCTAGCAAATAGATAGTCTCAGTGATCCCTGGGGCTGGGATAACAGAATTTTCTTTTCCCACTTATGAGATTTCGCACTTAAAAAAAAAAAAAACAGTATTAGTTTAATCAGCAAAATCAATAAAAAAAATTCCCAACCTGAAAATAAAATAACTATTCTAGAGAGATAGAAAGTGCAATTGACCCTCAGAGAAAAGCACTTGAAGTAAAAACCACCTTGCCACGAAAACACCCTGAGAAAAAAGCCTGCACTAAGCTAAAGAAGGAGGGAGCATCGGTGCTGTGTGAGGGCTTGGTGTCCAGGCCCCGGGCCCTCCACATGTGGTAGTCCTCAGTCCTCACCTTGATTCCAATCCTTCCCTGCATCAGTCTTCTCTTCGCAAATATTAAGAAGAATTAATAGCTATTGAATATGTATCAGGTGCCAGACACGTCACATATATTTTTTCCTGCGTGCTCATGATCTCACTAGGAGGCAATAATTATTTCCATTCTCATTTAGCAGATGAAGAAACTGAGGCCCACCTCTGGGATTCAGCCCAGGTAGTGCAAGCCCGAAGCCTATTACTGGGATCAGTGCTCATAGCATCCTTCTGGGACCAAAACCCTATTAACACTCCTGACTTCCTGAAGAAGGCCCGAGTCTGCGAATTCTGCTAGCACCATCTTCTTGTCCTCATCACCACTGGCCAGCAGCATCTTCTAGGTCCAAGGTGATGGCCTGCCTCTGGGGAGTCCAAAGCTGAGTGTGATCTGTCCTCTATTAACTCATAGGATAAGGACAGACAGGATAGACATCTGAGTCCCACATCCATTCTGAGCAAGTGTTCTGAAAAAGGTAAGCCACTGGACTTCCCTTCACACACATCCTCAGGTGACCGTCCCTGAAGGACACTCTAGCAGCTGCACATGGTATGGTGTCTGGCCACTGCCTAGCCTCTCTGGATCCTTTCCCTCACATTTTCTTTTCCTGTACCCCCAAGCCATGCTATGCTAACTGCCCTGGGAGAAGCAGAAAGAGCTGAGGGGGCAAATCCGAGAATTCCTAATGGCACATGGGCCAGTTGTGTGAGCCAGAGGGCGACAGGGGACCACATTAAGGAGCCCAAAACTGACAGCAGACTCTGCCTGGGTACCACTCCTGCTTCCTAAATAAGTATGTTCAACCCGGAGTGTGAATTGGCACATTCACTTTTGAAAATGATTTGACAGTATCGACTTGAACCCTGGACCCTGCCATTCCACCCAAGAAAGCTGCCCACGAGCAACAGGTGCTTAAAGCGACAGGTTCTTCCATTATCAGATTTATTACAGGAGACCCTGAGCTACTCAAATGCCTGTCAATAGAAACTGTTGGGTAAGCTAGGGTCCATCCAGGCAGCAGAACAGTTCACAACACCGGAAAGGGACCAAATGTGCATCAACCATGTGGGTGGATTTTGCAGTCATGAAGGCTAGTACAAGATGACAGAATAACACTCATTCAGGGTCTGGAATGCACAGGCAAACAGGGAAAGGTTAGATTAGTGATGAGTGCTGACTAAGGGGGACACATAGGAGTCTTTGGGGTCTGGAATGTACCACGTGAGGGCCATAGTGTAAAGATCATCACAGTGCGTGCACAAGATACTAAGTGTTCACTAGTTTTGAGGAATATTGCAAAGTAAGTTTAAGAACCAGTTTAAGCACAGATTCATTAGGTCATCTTCTCCAGACCCCTGGGGAAGGGATGAGGAAGAGTGTGCACAGATGTTATGCTGGAGCACAGCTAAGGCTGTGGGCATGCTGTTATGAAAAATATTTCAATGCTTGACTTTTCAGACCATGTAGAAGAGGCCACACAAATTCCAGTGCTGCTCAGAGACTCAAGATCCCACAAAGGAAGTCTGAGGTGTCTCATGGCTCCTTCCAGTCCCCAGTCCCTAGCAATGGTTCCACGACGTAGTGACAATGTTGGCCCTTCATCTGTTAACCCCTGTGGAGAGCTTTGCAGCCAATCCCACTAGCTGCTCATTTTCCTCATGTGACTTAGAGCCTCTCAACATGAACACATCTCACCCTCTTCTCTCTAGTTTTCAGGAATATTCCTGACATCACCAACTACATCATCAGGGATACACCCCATTTCTTGAGATCTTATAGCTACACCTCCCATTCCTTGAAATCTTACATGCCAGGCACTGAGCAAACCTGTTACCTTTGGCATCGACCTCAAAAACTCTATGGAATGAATCCTAGTTTCACCCCTATTTTAGACGTAGGAAAATGGAATCAAATCTGCACCTGTCTGCCTGGTGTGAGGGTTTCCTTAAAGGAAATGGTTGGGCTGTTTCCTTTTTCTCTCACCAGCACTGAACTTGACCCAGGGTGAGGGTTAAAATAGCTTCAAGAGAAAGAAGGCTGTGTTGGAGAAAGGTTCCCAGTAGGCTGCTGTGCGCCTCAGTCACTGAATGACAAGTTACCACTGCCAGTGCGGATACTCAATCCCACACTCAGTCCCCTGCACCAAGGACCAGGAGGCTGCAAAGCCACAGGGTCCAGTGCACAGGAAGGTGAGGAGCGCCCAGGGGACCACCCTCACTGCTCTTCATCTCAAGGTTGGCAGTCAGGAGAGAGAAGAGAGAAAGCAGCCACAGAAGGCAGACTGGGTGGGTCTCCTGCCCCAGACAGCACAGGGACTTGCCTGGTTGTCAGTCAAACAAGTGACAATTCCCCATAGCCAAACATCTTATTCTAAGCTAGTCATTACTGTCGGCAGTATTGTCAGACATTATTTAAATCCAGCCCACTTAGCAATTCTCTCTACTGTGGGACAAGCAAAACCTCAAGCTAGAGTCCTAAGAACCAATACTGGGGTTCTAGGCTAAACCCTCCAACAGAGGCAATTGTAGATTTTCTTAGAAGGATCAGCTAAGTTGGGCTAGGATGATGGTTCAGTTGATAAAGTACTTGCTAGACATCATGAGAACCTGGATTTGAATACTCAGCATTCACGTTAAAAAGCTAAGTGTGGTGGCACACATCTATAACTCCTACACTGGGGGTAAGGTCCAGGGAGAGGCAGATCCCTAAAGTTCATTAGCCATCCAGCCTAGCCAAATTGGACGAGCCCCAGGTTCAGTAAGAGACCGATTCACAAAAGGTAGAGAATGGGTGAGGAAGACATTTGACATTGACCTCTGGTCTCCACACACATGCACACACAATTGTACATGATCCCGTATGCACACATGCACAAATGTGAACAAGTACATGCTACGGAGAGAAAGAAGAATCAGCTAAATTTAAGGTCCCAGATCCATGCCTCCATCAGAGGAGGTGGTGTGCCCCCCTCCCCCAGGTCTTCCATACAGGTCCCTGGATCTACAGGTCAAAGATACCAAAGATTCCTAGCGGAACTCTCAAGCAGCCCACTAGGGCCCAAGCAGATCAGGGGCCAATACTTGCCGGTGTCATGTCCCATTTCCTCCTCCGCGGATACCTTAGTCCAGTCTTCAGCCTTGTCGATGTGAAACAGCTTCAGATCCTCCTCCTCCAGGGCAATGTCTCCCCAGAAGACAGCTAGCAAGAGAAATCATAGTGGGTCAACTAAGCCTGCAAGTCAGAAAAAGGGATTTGCTAACTCCCCAGAAGGCACTGGATGCAGGGAGCAAATCCTAGAAAAGACAGTCCTGCCAATCAAAGTTCTCCTGGAGCCTCGATGATAATTGCATTAAAGCCATGGTATCTGGGCCAACCACCATGGGAACCCAGAGCCTTGGCCTATAAACACCCCTCCATCTCACCCTAGGTCCAGGCTGCCATGGGCAACACATCACCTAGAGACAGCTGTTTCTTTCCTCTTCCTTTCTGAAGAAAAAGCACAATGCCATCATTTACTTATCACTCACAGTATCTGTTGCCCTTCTTTGTTGTGCACAGCTCCCCCAGTCTAGGTGCTCCCTCTGTAGGGAAAAGCAATACTTTAGACAAGCAGTTCTCAACCTGTGGGGTCATGACCCTTCGGGGCTCGAACAACCCTTTTACATGAGTCACAAAGACCATCAGAAAACACAGACATTTACGTTACAATTCTTACACTAGCAAAATTACAGTTATGAAGTAGCAATGAAAATACTTTGCTAGTTAAGAGTCATCACATCATGAGGAACTGTATTAAAGGGTCACAGCATTAGGAAGGTTGAGAACCACTGCCTTAGACAGTCAAGTCCAGCACCTGGGATCTTGAGCACAAGTGTTGTAGAACACAGACATGGTTTATCAGGATGCATGTGTAATTCTGCTTTGGAGACGAATCCCCGTGGGCCCATGTATTAAAGGTGTGGACCTAGGGTGGCCCCCACTGGGAGGTAGTGGAGCTGTGAGACTGGGATCGTAGGCCCAGACCCCTCTCTTTCTCTTTATGCTCTAAAGATGAGACGAGCAGTTCTGCCCCACCAGGTGCACCCCCATGATCCCGTTCAGCAAATCACTTGACCTGTTTCCGCTTTGGCTTCCTCATCTGGAGATTAAAATGTAACTGATGTTCAACGTTGTATGAGAAATAATTGAGATGAGGTTTGCTAACAGCCGGCACAGGACTGGCCAAGGCGAGCCACCTGATTGTCACTGAGTTCTTCCTGGCATGTATTTCTCCCCTCGCTTCACCCTCTCTTTATCCTGAAGACCCTGCCAACCACAACTCCCACATCTCCGCTCGTGAATTCTCCTCCCACCCTGACACACCCCTTCATGTCTGTGTTGCTGTAGGGTTAAACTGTCATCTATCACCTAACAGATATGGTACCTGTGCGTGTACCCATGCGTGTACCTGTGCATGTACCCGTGCATGTACCTGTGCGGGTACCTATACGCGCCGGGCTTCAGGCAGACAAGACTGGGGGCCAGGGCAGCCCATCTAGAATTAGGGTTTTTGTGCTTTACAATTAACAATGGATTCAATCTATGTGTCACTTTTTCCCCCTTTCATATATTGATATTCTCCTATGGATTCCGTACCCTTACAAACCAGAAAACAGAGCCACAGCAAAAATAAATAAATAACAACTCACTCAGGTCACACAGACAGTGAGTGGCAGAGCCTGACCCCAGCCCTAGCCTCTCTCCAGCCCCAGCCCTCCACCTCACAGCCCCTCGGCATCTCCCACTGTGCAACACTCTAAATGCCCTGAAGACAGGCAGGCTCTGGGTTTATGCTCACACATTTCATCTGTCAAAACCCACTTCCCACACTAAGGAAAACCAAGGCAGAGGCCACAAAGCATGGAACAGAATCAGGTAGCTGCTGCCCACGAGACAGACACCAGGCAAACAACCTAAACTCCCTCAGTCTCAGCTTCTGCATCTCTCAGATGGTGATGAGCAGTGACGTCACTTCCTTCCAGGTTGCTGTGAGCACCAGGTGAGATGGTGTGAGCAAGCGTCGAGCACAAAGCGGGCACCTGGACCCATTCAGTAAATACAACAAAATATCTCTGTCCTGTAGACCTCAAGATCCTCAGCAATGGTCTACATGAGTAGTGATGTATACTTAGACTGAATGATGTTTTCTAAAGGTGGGACACCTCCCTCCCTTGGAACACTGCCCTTCTCAATTGCCCAGCCCAGAAGAGCCTTTACCCACACCAGCCACAAAAGGGTGCGGGCTGGCTTTGAGGCATCACACAATGGACAGATTCCACGCCACGCCACATCAGGGCCCAGAGAGTCCTTGCCACAGTGAGTCATGTCTCCCTCCCTGTGGCCCCCATGGGCTTCCTGTGATGGAGTCTATATCCCAAACTCTGCTTTCCTGTCCTATAGACTCCACCAGATTCCACCCCAAGACCTCCAAAACTGATCCCGTGGACGCCACCAAAGACAGTTCAAGAAGCCACCTGCCCACAACTCAGAAAGGCACCTCCCCCAGAGTCATCTGGTGTTCAGACAATGGCGCTCAGTGGTGATTCAGGACCCCAATGTAGTTGGTTGTCTCACTCTTTGCTCTTTGGGGGCTCACCACCCAGCTCCCAAATAAATACAGAGATTTATTCTTATTTATGAATACATGGCCTTAGCTTAGCTTATTTCTAGCCAGCTATTCTTAACTTAAATTATCCTATCTACCTTTTGCCTCTGGGCTTTTACCTTTATCTACTCCATATTCTTTCCTTTCCTTCTTACTCTGTGGTTGGTTGTGTAGCTGGGTGGTTGGCCCCTGGTGTCCTCCTCTCCTTCTCCTTCTCTCGCTCCTCCTCCTTCTCTTCTCTCTTCCTTTCCTATTTATTCTCTCTGCATGCAGCCCCACCTATTTCTCTCCCCTGCCCAGCTATTGGCCATTCAGCTCTTTGTAAGACCAACCAGGTGTTTTAGACAGGCAAAATAACACAGCTTCACAGAGTTAAACAAATGCAACATAAAAGAATTCAACGCATCTTTGCATCATTAAACAAATATCCCAAAGCATAAAAGAATGTCACACATCTTTAATATTTCACAACACCCCAAACTCCTGCTACCATGTGTTCTCCAAACCACGAGAGAGGCTTTAGTCCCCTCTCTCCACCTCACTGTGGTTAATGTTGTGTCTCCATGGAGAAGTACAGGACACTGAAAAGTTTCAACAGCAGAAGTGCTGTGATCGATTAGTGAAGACTACCATGGGCACGAGTGGGGGGGGGGTGGCAACCCTTCTGCTTTCATTGATAGGAAGGAAGATGGTCTCATACTATTTCAGAAAAGAAAGCAAGTTTGATCAGAAGCAACTGCTTTCTTGGAAAATCCAAGAGATACAATGAAATAACTGGTTCAAAGTTAATGTATCAACAATAACACACCGGACTGCTATATAATAGAAACTTTTAGCACCTTTTAAAGGGGCTTCATATCTGAGATTCAATGTGGTACCCACTAACTGTCTGTTATTCCTGAATACTTGGAATGTGGTTAATGTGAAGGAGAAACTAAATTTTAAATCTTATTTATTTTTTAAATTGCTGCCTATGGCTAGTGACCATGTCACAAATATAAAGTTGAATATAATAAAAACAATGACATATAATATATGTATAATTATTTAGAAGAGCAAAAAGAACCAGATACTTTGGAATAAGTTTAATAGGCACTGTGTTAAGAAATACAGATTCCTGCTAAAACTATGAAAGTGGTGAGCAAGATAGTACGTTGGTTAAGGCACTTGCTGCCAAGCCTAGTGCCCCAACTTCAATCCCCAGGACCCACACTATGGAGGAAAAGAGTCAGGGCCCACAAGCTGCTCTCTGGGCCTCACTTGTGCACAATGGCACATATGCACACACAAATACACACACACACACACACACACACACACACAAATGCACAAAAATTAAAAACTAGAAAATTGGGTAACACATAAAGAGAAATGTACTATATTCATGAATGAGAAAGGCTATAATTTTAAAGATTAACTCTAAGGTAGTGTGTAGGTTCATACACTTCAAAAACTACAACTAACTTTTTATTGTTGACAAAATTATCTATAAGTACACCTCCATAATTATGTGAGAATAGTCAAGAGAGAATGCTAAGACTACCACAGCCTTGTCATAAAGAATGGTCTAGAATCAGGTTCTAGATTATGTAAGAAAACTACAAAAAATTAGCTCTTACAAATTTGTGGAAAGTAGTTGACTCTTGGATGGGTTATGTTGAAACAAGTGGCTTAATCAATTAGGGAAAACTCAAGTGGACTTTGAACTTAATTCCACACAACAAAATTAAATCCAAATAAATAAAACATTAAATCAATGATTGTTTCAACAAAATTTAGAAATCTAAGTCTACAGTCAGTCCTCTGTATTAATAGTTCTATACCTAGATTCAACCAACCACGGATCAAAAACTATTTGAAAAAGCAATGTGTCTATACTAAACATATACAGGTTGTTTCCCCTCCCCCCACAGCTAATCATTACAGTGTAGCAATTATTTATAAAGCATTTACACCATGTCAGGAATTACACAGGAGGAAGTACAGAGTGCTACATGCCAAGTATGACACCATCTGACATAAGGGACTTGAGCATCTGTGGACTTCGGTATCTGTGGTGAACCTTGGAACTGGTCCCCAAAGATACCAAGGGACAACTGTATATCTAAAACACTCAGCTAATGAAATATTACTAAAAGACCGAGTGTGACCCATGGAAGCCTTCTATGAGAAAATTCTCCACGCATGCCCACCGCCTCTTCCACTGCCAACTGCCAGGAAGCCAGACCGTTATCCATGGACCAGGAGCACGGACAGCATCTTGGAACTTGACAGAAATATGTATCCTCAGAGGCCATCCTGGACTTGCTGAGAAGGGACCTGCATGCTTAAGGATCCCTTGAGTAAATTATATACACATTAAACTCTGGAAAGCACTGGTAATGGTGACAAGAGACTATCCTCAACACCCATAACACTGGAGTCAATCTCTCTGTCATCTGTTATGTCTTCCATGGCTGTAATGAAGAAATCAAACTGGGTAATTTCTTTATGGGATTAGAACTCGAAAATGCAGAGTCATAGAAAGAATCTCAGATGCATTTCCATAAAAACG